TACACTGTCTTGGAACACAGAGCACAGATCACACATGACAGGAATGTCCCTCTTACAACAGTCATGAGCTTGCTTTGCTGGCATAGCAGGTCAGAGGTCACAAGGTGAACACAGTAGGTTGGTAATTAATCCTTAGTTTCTAGGAAGAGATGCTTATCCTTAAAGAAATGCTGAGATGGGGAGAAGCCATATCCCTATCTTGAAGGGCATCATCCTTGTCTTTGGGACACTATAAATGTTTAAAGCAGATGTACAATGCATGCTCAGCGGGCCCTGTCAGGCATTCCCGGAAAAACAAGGTCAGGCCGAATTAGTTTTAAACCAAATGGCTTCCTCATACACTTCAATATGTCCTATTACTTTTCATTTATTCATCCTTGTTAAATGTCATGCTGGCTTTTGACTGAAGATGTGATGAAGAACTATTTATTATTGTCTGTTTATTAAGAGTTTTGATTGTCAGGAATAGAAGTGAAATGTTATCGAATGTCTTTGGAGTATCCGTGGAGGGGGTCACAACATCCGCCCTCTAATGTGTTAACGTGGGGCCTTTCGGTGCAAGGTGTTCTCACAGTGACTCATCCTGGCTTTCTTGGTTGGAACCTGCTTTGCTGCCGGGGGTTCATCTTTTATTGGCCGATGGTTTTCCCGTTGACGTTTGAAGCTCAGGATGTTCTACAGATGTCTTTAGATGAGACCTAGTTCTTCTCCATCCGTCTCCTCGAAGCCCATCAGCCGTCTATTCGACTGGCGTCCTAAGCTGGTGCTGAGACTTCTGGCCTCGAGGCAGACGAGGCATCCAGACGGTCCTCCCTGGAGCCTCCGGGAAGACTGCGCTCTGTCGGGACACGTGGGGAGAACGGCAGGGGGAGAGCTCAGAGGAGAGTGAGAGTCAGCGCTGAGTCACCCCTCCTTCCCCACACTCTGACCTCCCACAGCCTCCTGAATTCTTTCGCAGCTAGTGGGTCAGTGTGGGACCAGTGTCCTCCTTGGAGAGAGAAGCTGCCACCCCGCGGTGGTCTGGCCCCCGGGCAGTGAGCCTGCCCAGCCAAGAGCCACCTTTCCACCCAGAAGGACCCAGACCTGACACTGCTCCCAGGTTGGGGATGGGTCCCTGCCCTGGGGGCACAGGTCACCAGCGACAGTAGGTGGCTCTCCTGGAATCCACCAGACCCAGATCAGGCACCGGCTGAGGAACCTGTCTTGGTCCAGGTGCCTGGTTGGCTAGTTAGAGTGCCTGTGCTGGGCTCTCCCCACAGCTGGGTCTGGTGTCCCTCCTTGGCAGACTGCAGGGTCTTGTCCCACCCAGCTGTCCTGTTTGGTGGTCACAGAGTGGGTGTCCCTCTGAAGCCTTCTGGGGATGGCATCCTGGGCGGGAGGCAGGGCGTGATGGGCAGGCTTTCAGTGACAACAGTCCTCTTGTGAAGCCCCCACTAGATCCTCCATGCTGTCATCCAGCCATGACTTCACTCATTATTCTTTCACTCAGACACTTCAACTCAGTCTCTGGTTGTGCTAAACACGTGCTGGGTGCGGGGGATCAGACTGAGCCCTGTCTTCCTCTTTGCTGTCAAGGTGCTCGCAATCTCTGATGCCAGAAAACTCGTGCCTGCCATACAGTCCGGTTCAGTGGTCAGAGCCAGACTGCCCGGGTTTGAGTCTAGACGCCACCACTTCCTCTCTGTGGACCTCGGGCACAGGGCCCATCTTCTGAGACTCAGTTTACTCATCATGGAAATGGGGATAATAACAATATCTGCCTCTGGGCTTCTGGGAGGGGTTTAATGCTGGGAGGGGTGATAGGCAAAGCACTCTGAGTGGTTCCTCGCAGAGTAAGGGCTTCACACTGCTTAAGAAAAATTAAAAAAAAACTGCATTTCCCATGCTGATTGTGCAACATTGTTCGGTTGGCCAGAAAAACCCAAACTGCAAAGGTTTATCATTTTTTCTTGATAACTCCTCATTTTTTCTAAAAGGGGAAAGAGAATCAAATCCTGAAGGAATGTGGGAATGACACTTAATCCTGGTCTCTTTTGGCTGCTCATCTGTTTGAACTGAATTTCTCTTCAGTGGAAAAAAATCACCCGACAGCGTGGCGAAACAGTCAGGCTGGCAGCTGGGCCCGGCCGGCCTTTCCTTTAAACGTTCAAATGCATGTGGAGTTTGGGGAGCCAGGAGCATTCTGTGGGCTGGTGGGCCTTGTAGCTTCCTCTGGAAATAAACACTGCTGCAAGTGGGAATCTGCACAGAATGGCCTGGAGCTGGGGTCCGGGAGGGCTGGCGGGAGGAAGGGGGCTTGGCTAGCTGTGTATCAGGCATGGAGCAAAATCCAGAGCAGTTACTATATTTCAAGCTTGCTAGAACGGCTCTGCCAGTTGAAGAGAACTCAGCAAAGGGGCGTCTGTCTCACAGATATGTCCCGGCTCCAAAAACTAGGCCTGCACGTGGAAGAGAGTGGCTACACTGTTGTAGCTCTTACTTTATTCCAGACTCTGGTTCTCTGGCCTGTAGTGCTGGGGGAGGCCAGGATTCTTGGGGGGAAACCCCTGAGATTCCTCAGGTCTTTGGGTCTGTCCCTCCCCAGGCCAGAGACAACTGAGGGCTGTCCACAACAGCCACCCCCTGCTTTACTCGTGTCAACACCCTCTGTGGCCCTCAGCATAGTCCCATGGGAGTATCACCACCCCCGTTTTGCTGATGAGAGAATGGAGGCATAGTGAGGTTAGATAACTTCCTCAGATCACATACCTAGGACAGAGTAGGGCCACGAGTCAGCCCCAGACCCACAAACATGGCCCCCGTGCAGGCCATATTCCCCTCTCCACTTGTTTCTGTATGGCCCACGAGCTAAGAATGGTTTTAGCATTTTTAAGTGGGTTGAAAAGGATCAAAAGAATAATAATATTTTGTGGCATCTAAAAATTATGTAAAATTCAAATTTCAGTGTACATAAATAAAGTTTTCTGGGCACAGAGCCATGCCCACTTGTTTGCGTATCTATAGTAGGTACAATACGCACCGCAGAGGCAGAGTTGGGGAGTTTGACAGAGCCTCTACAGACCCCATAAGCCTAAAATGTTTACTGTCTGGTCCTTTATAGAAAAAGTTTGCTGACCTCTGCACTAAAACACCGTGTGGGCAGCCTCTGGAGTGGCTCCTGCAGGGATGACATGTTTTGGAAAGCACGGAGGAGGACCTCTCTTGCTAAGTTCAAGGACGATATGGAGAAGTATGGAGGTGCGATAGCAGCTTCAGGTGGATTAAAGACCAGCTGGTGGGCCGGGAGATCTCTGACGGCAAGCTGCAGGGCTGTCTTCAGCCCTGTTCCAGCCAACACTTTCATTAGTAGCCTGAGTGAGGACATCCGGGCTGTGTGGACCCAGCTGGTTGCTCTGTGTTCTTCTGCGCGGAGACCTGATGTAATTCACCGTCCATCCACTCCTGGGTTCAGGGATCAGCGCATCACCATCTTCCATTGACAGCTGCTGGTCCAGGGATGAGTGTGTGTCCTGATTTGGTCCAATGAGGCTGAAAGGATGGACTTCTGTTCCATGGTTGCTGGGGGAGAGATTTGTTTTCTTTCTCTCCTTCTCTCTGGACATGAACAAGGGAGCACGTACTCACAGTGGGCACCTAAAGGCTTCCTGAGACAAAAGTGGGATCTTGTCAACGTTGTGGGTGGTAAAGTGGAGAGCAGAAAGAAACCCGAGTCCTTACCATGACAAGAAGGAGCTGCTACATCTCCCCAGCCTGCCCTATCTTGAGACTGCCCGCCATAGATGACCTTCATTCTCCTTATGGTTAAAGCCATGTGTTTGGTTTTTCTGTGACTTGTGGTTCTTGTTATCCAAAGTCCAGGAGGCCAAAGAGGTGACAGTCACCTCAGGGGTCCTGTTAATGGGCTCACTGCATGAACGGGGCCGTGGTGGTTTGCCACTCTGGCCAGGCTGGACCAGTCCTCGGGGCTCTGTGCACTGGCCTCTGGCTCGACTTGCTTTTCTTAGTAGTGCCAGAGGATATCCTTGGTCCACCGCCTCTGAAAACACTACCTAATACGGCCTCACCGAAATGCCCTCAGCCTGTTTGGGCGATTGTCTAGGCCCAAGGTATCACTTGTCCATGCTGAACTGTTGTAAAACAGAAAACATAATGTTTCGGGACAGTAGTCGGGACTGTTCACATTGTCTCATTTCTGGATGTCTGGTTTTCTGAGGTTGATTGGTGAATAGCACTACAGTTATTTCCTTGTTTGCGTTGAAGGAAATCAACTGTGTATTTCTTCAGAACATGTGAGAGTTTTCCTACAGGGGCATACGGAAACAGACCAAGACCTTTTATTGGCCAACGCTGAGCTGGGGCGTAGTGGACCGAGAGGTGGCTTTGATGAGGCTGCATCCTGGAGGTGATAGATTGTGTCCCATCTCTGTTTGTGGAGAGGGATTGGGTGCAGGTGGGCAAAAGAAGACAGGATTGTGGTGCTGGCTAAAGCTGAACCAGGTCAGTGGCTCAAGCTGGCTGAGCAGTGACCACAGAAAGATGAGCATGGACCACCCAAATACCACCTTTGCCTGCTGCTGCCTCAGTGGTTGTCATGACGATGGTGGGCTGAGTCTTCTGGGTTCCTCCCCTTCCTCCTCCATAGTGTTGAAAGCTCTTTTCCAACCTTAGTTAGCAAGGCTGAGACCAAATTAATTGATGAGTAATTAATCATGATGAGTAATGATGGAGACCTCATTTGACCTCTGTAACTGGCTCATCCTTCCTGATCTTCAGGGAGCAAACAGGCGTGATCAAACAGCTCCTGGTGTGCAGGGCAAGCTGGCAGAGGAGCAGAGCAGAAGCCCTGTTACTACCTGGAGGCCAGCAATAGAGCTGACCAGCGCCAAGAGCCACTGAGGAGTGCCCCCAGTGTGTGACCCAGGGGTCAGGCGGCCTGAGTGCTAGGCCTCGTGGAGGCAGGCACTGTGCCGCACCCCCTCAAAGGATGCGTGTCCCCACAGGTCCATGACCGCCTGGATCGCTACTGCTGTGGCTTCGAGCCGGAGCCCTCAGACCCCTGTGTAGAAGAGAGGCTCCGAGAGAAATGCCAGAACCCGGGCGAGCTGCGACTGGTCCACATCCTGGTACGTCCCCTTGTCGCCCCAGACTCGAGTCTTCCTGTGTCCCTCAGAAGATGGTGTTCGCAAGTTTCAGAGACCATGTGATGCTGGGGTTTCCCAATCCTGCTCTTTTTACCAGCAGGACGCTTTGCTTGAATAATGTTTCCAGGAAGCCACAAAATATAAAACTGACAAAAGTGGAGCTTTGAGAATGTGGTTGAAGTGGGTGTGGGCTGGGGGCCGGAACCATTTCCCCAACTCCACTGCCCCTGAGAGACTCTTGGGAACCCCTAGGGCTCCTGGGAGCAGAGTGTGTCTGGTCAAACCTCCTCATTGTGCCAGTAAATGCAAAATGTGACCTGGAGTGGGGTGGGGAGTTTCCAAGGCCACCTGGCTGGTTGTGGCAGTGACAGAACTCTCACCCGGGACCCTGATGGCTCACAGGCTGGGGCGATCAGAGAGATATTATGCTGCCTCCTGTTAAGACCACAGCCCAGTGTGGGAAGTGATGCACTGAAGCCATCGGAGAGGGGCTGGCGTGGCAGAACAGCCACTTCTCCCGCAGAAGGAGCAAGGTGCCACCTGGCGAAGGGCTTCTCTATCTTCTCCCCCAGTGAGACCTAGTGTCTTCACTGCCTCACTTTGGCCAGTTGCTTTTGGAGGGTAGCTGTCAGCATGGTGCCCAGTGTCAGGCACGCCACACCAGCCCAGGGGCCAGGCTGCCGCCTGGAGCTGCCGGGTGGTGGGAATTCTCCCTCCCCTGCCCCAAGAGCCATCTCTCCTCTTCCCCGGTAAAAGGCAAATATCCCTGGGAGAGGTAAGGCTTTTATATCTGTCATTCACTGTTGGTGGGCAGCCATTTCAGAGCTCCTTTAGGGCAGCAGTTTTTGGAGGGAGGAGTCACCAGGCTTCAAGAAATAGATGGTCCCTGAGTGTGGAGACAGGTGAAGACGGAGCAGAGGCAGAGGGAAAGGGAAGCTGGGGTCCTGGAGACAATACTTCATAATCTAAGCCTAGATTGCTAGAGAGGATTAATGGGAAATTACCATGGAATCTGGGAAGATGTGTAGGAATGAGACGTGTGCATGGGAGAGGGGGTAGGGAGCCAGAAGAGACGGCCTCCCATTCCCCAGCACACTGTAGTTTTAAGGTGCTAAAGAATTTCCTGTTGCTGATTTTAGTTTTGAAGAGGTTTAGGAGATGCTAAACTTTCCTGTGGGGATAGAGTATGGTCAGTGCTACCTGAGGATGAAGGGCGTCATTGTCTGTTCTCAGGGATGCTCAGGGGAGCGCCCAGGTATGCAGGCACAGGTGGCACAGAGGGGGTGAGCGTGTGCGTACGTGTGTGAGCATCCACGTATGTGCTACATCCTGAAGCCGCAGCCCTGACGGGTGGGCTACCTCTGCCCCTGCTGATTTCCACTCATGCTCCTCAGCCCTTTGGCTACCAGGACAGGAATCAGTCCCTGTGCCTTGCAGTTTCGCAGGATGGCGCTGTGGCATGGCACTATGGGTCCAGGTTTGAACCAGCCCAGCTACTAGCTGTGTGATCTTGTGCAAATTACTCAACTTCTTTGTGCCTCCGTTTCTGTAAAATGGGGCTAACACCAATGGCCACCTCGTAAGGTTGCTGGGAGCTTTCCCTGAGATGCTGCCTGCAAGCACTGAGCACAGTGCCGCAGTACAGTCAGCTTACTGCTCAGCGCGTGGGGGCCATCTGGGCACATAGCAGGGTGAATTGTGGGATTGACAGCTCGGGGCCCCCAAGCCCTTTAGCCCTGACAGAGTCCACGGGCATCACCTGGCCTGCCCCCTTACCCACCTCTGTCTCTGTCCTTCTTCCTTGAGGTCCGGAGCAGCGACCCATCTCATCTGGTTTACATCGATAATGCTGGCAACCTTCAGCACCCTGAGGACAAGCTGAACTTTCGGCTGCTGGAGGGCATAGATGGGTGAGGGTCCAGAGGACCGGGTGGAGGTTCATGGGACTGGGGCTTCATGGCCCTGCTGCAGCCTATAGGACGTCAAACCATGGCTCCCGAGAAGTCCACAGTCCAGCAGACAAAAGCTGTTGGATCTGAGCTTCAGGAGCGGGTGGGGAAAGCTGAGAGGCGACTCAGCCAGCAGGCCCTTCACCTCCCAGATGGAGTGCCCCCCCCCCCAATATTCAGAGCGCCTCCTGGCCCCGCTCAACACCGGCTGCCCTTCCCTTTCACCCGGGAAAGCACAGTTGATTTACCCAGCTTCCTTATGGGATGGGACCCATCCGAAGGCTTTCTCTCTCTGCTTTCACAGCAGAGCCAGTCAAAGGGTTCCCTGATAACTAGTCAGCAGGCATGGCCCTGGGGACTTCGCAGGCTGACTTTGCCAGGCTCCCCAGCTGTGAAAGTGCTGGCCACTTGGCTTCGCCTTTCACAGAAACTCTCTGAGATCACTTTTGCTTTTCCTTTCTGCTATGGGGTTCGGGGGACCTTCCTCCAGGTTTCCTGAGTCTGCCGTGAAGGTTCTCGCATCAGGGTGTCTACAAAATATGCTGCTCAAGTCACTGCGGATGGACCCGGTGTTCTGGGAAAGCCAAGGTGGGGGCCAGGGGCTGAAGCAGGTTCTCCAGACCCTGGAGCGGCGAGGACAGGTCCTGCTGGAACACATCCGGAAGCACAACCTGACACTCTTCAGGGACGAGGACCCGTGAGTCCCCACACTGCCCACGCAGGGCTCTCGCCTCACTGGTGGGCACCTCACAACACGACCTGAGTGGATGAATGCCCATCCTGATGGCCACGACTTTTTGGGTTCACCCATCATGATGACAAATGGGAAAAGCCAGAAATCAGAAGTGCACCCTGGATGTCATGGGCTGTGTCACCTGCTTGGGATGGTGGAGATGGTTGTGGGTGTTGGCTTTTCAATCTCACTGCATTTCTTTCTGCCTTCTTAGGTCTGGCTGTTTACTCCCTTGCAGCAATAAATGCATTCAAGAATGTTCTATGAACCGCCTCTAGATACTGTGAAGCTGTACATCCCACGTGTCTATGCAGAGCTGGACAACTGTGTGTGTGTGTGCATGTGTGTGCACGTGTGTGTGTGTAGGTGTAAGTGGCATGTGCGCACATCCGCACACATACGTGAGAGGAGCCTTTAATAAAGGATCTTCACAGAATTGTACTTGTGCCCAGAACTGCTCTCACTGAAAGTAGACTCACGTCTAAGAAACGAACCACTAAGTCTTTTGTCTTTATAGGCTTTAAATGTTCAATTCTTAGTTATGTGTTTGGTTGAAGAATTATAAAAGTAATGCATGCTCACTAAAAATAAATTCATGAATAAGAGAAGCATATAAGATAAAAAGTGCAAGTCCCAGAAGCTCCCTAGAGATGTTTTATTCACACTCATACTACATGCAAATTAAAAAATAATAAAAGTAGGGTCATCTATGTTTGCCAACTCACTGTTTTAACTTTATATTAGCCATATTATGTATCAGCCGTCTGGGTTGACCCAGTTCTTATTGATGACTGCATGGGACTCCAAGGCAGGGATGTGTCATATTTTATTTAGCTGTTCCCATTATGATGAATCTTAGGTGGCTCCAACCCATCACCAATTATAAACAATGCTGCCATGAACATCTTTGCATGGCGTGCAAGTATTTCTGCTAACTAGATTCCTGTAGGTGGATTTCTGCATCAGAGAGTATGGGCTCTCTTTATTTTGAGAGAAACTGCCAGATTGCTCTCCAAAATAATGGTGTCAATTTCCAGCCCACTAACAGGAAGGGGCCGACTGTCTTCCCACCACCACGCCGGCACTTGCTATTCTCAAACTTTTTGTTTTTATCCATCTGATAGGGAAACCTATTTTTAAAACTGCATTTCCTTAACTACTAATGAGGTTATCTTTCCAGTTATTTACTAGTCCTTCATATTTTATTTCCTGTGAGTTGCCTTTTTCTTTTGAGATGTTTGTTCTTTGCTTGTTAATTTGTTAGAGATCTTTGAATCTAATTAGCGTAATCAATTTTTTTCTCTGTTCGATATGTTATAAATATTTTCTTCCAGTCTGTCATTTGTCTCTTGACTTTGTGAGTCTTTTGCCAAGTGGAAAACTTTATTTTCCATGTAGTCAAGTCTGTTTATCTTTCCCTTTAAGTCTTTTGAGTTTGTTGCCTTCTTAGAAAGGCTGTCACTATTTGAAGATTATTGAAATAACCCCCTATGTTTTATTCTAGTATTTATATAGTATTTCTTTTACATTCACTCTAAATCTATATAAAATTTACATTTGAGAATGGTGTGAAGAAGGGATCTAATTCAAGTTTTATTTTTCCCCCAAATAGACAGTCGGTTGTTCCAAAATCATTATTCAAGTCTTTTCTTTCTCTATTGATCTGAAAGTATACTCTTACAATATGCTAAATTCCCATATATTATACAGAGGTCCATTTGTGAACTCTGTTCTGTTCTAGTGATATTTTTTTCAGTTCCTGCATCAATATGATACTGTTTAAAGTTATTTTATTATTTTCCTGTATGGTAGGGCAAGTTCCCATCTTTTTATTCTATTCTATTTTTTATTTGCTCATTTTGTACCTTTGTCTTTAATATGGTGTCAATCTGTGAAGCATACCACCCCACTCCCTCATGTGTAGATTCGTTAACCACCACGGCAATCAAGATACAGACCTGTTCCAGTGCCACAAAGACCTCCCTCCCGCTGCCCCTATATAGCCACCTCCACCCTCTTTACTCTCTCCCGTCCCTAATCCAATTGGTGGTTTGATTGGAATTGTATGGACTTGGTAGATTAGATAGTAGGAATGTGACTCATTTGCAGTACTGAGGGCTCTCATTTAGGGACGTGCTTTATCAATCCATTTATTCTTTTATAACTTCCAGTAACATTTTAAAGTTTTCTTCAACAAATAAACTCATTTTAAAGATATTTTATAATTTTTACTGCTATTGGTGAGTTATTTTTCTTGATTAGGTTTTTTCTAGCTAGATTTTTAAATGTGTATCTTAGAATTTTTAAGTAGGAAATCATATTTTCATATAATGATAATATTACATTTTTATTTCACAAATGTGCGTGTCTGTATGGACACCTTTCAGTTATTTTCGTTGTCTTATTATTTGGTTGGGATCTCTGGAGGAAGGTTGAATACTAGCAAGCATCCTCATCTTATTCTTGACTTTAACAGGAACACTTCTAGAGTTTCACCATTGAGTATGACTAGTGTAAAGAGATAGTTTCTGATAAATATCTTTCATTAAGTTAAGGAAATTTCTGTTATTCTTAGCTTACTGAAAGAACTGTTCTAAAATCAAGAATGGGGATTGAATTTTATTAACTGCCTTTTCAATGTCTATTGGACATACAGTTTTCCTCCTTTATTTTCTAATGCTGAATCATCTTTACATTTCCAGAATAAACCTATTTGGCTGAAATATATTAATCTTTTAGAAACTCCAGGATTAATTTGCTGAGATTTTACTTAGAATTTTGGATATATACTCATATATAGTCTAAGATTTTTCTTTTTTGTGCACTCCATGACCGTCTTATGATTAAAGTTAAGCAGGCCTCATGAAATGGATTCAGGACTTTTTCATCTTTTTAATGCTCTGGAATGATTTAAATAGGAATGTATTTAAATAGGATGTGCAAAATGTATTTAAATAGGAATGATTTAAAAAGGAATGTATTTCTCAAAGGTTTGATAGCACTCTCCCATAAAACTATTTGGGCCCTGTGCCTTTCTCCAGATCTCTCACAACCTTTTCAAGGAGCTTCCAGCCTAGTGTGGGAGAGGGCAGCTGGACCCATAATCAACCATCCTGCCTCGCATGGGAATGCAGAAGTGTCCTGGGCAAGATTTAGGCCCTTGGAAGAGGGAGTTTGGCTTCAGATGGTTCAGGTATTTCTCTTAAGATCATCAGTATGTTTGTCTTCTTTTGACTTCTTATCTTTTCTCCTCTTTCTCCCTTTTTTCTGAGTTCATTTCAAGGACACGCTTATCAAGTGATGCTGCCCCTCCGGGCTCAACCAGTGTCCATTTAACAGCCCCTGCTCTACATTCTGCCTGGTCTGCCCCTTCCCTCCCTCCTGCCTGGTGGACCTACACTCAGGTCCCACTCGAATGGGAGTGAGACACTTGTCAGACTAGAAAATGTTCAGGGTAGAGGAATATAGAAACATTTCATTGCCAGAGCAGAGTTAGGGCTTTCACACCAGGATGAGACTCATTCTATCTCTGTGACTTAACCTGCTCCTTTGAAAACATAGAGCTAATACTGTCTCACTGCTGAGAGACTGAATCTACAAATGGACAACGACCAGACCATCTATGACAACAGACCTCTGACCCACAACCTCAGCAGCAGCCAGCCTAGGGACTCAAACCACAACGTCTGCAACAGTCAGCCTAGAATGGTCAGGACTTGGTGAATAACTGCCAGCTTCACTATTTTTTGTCCCCACTTTCAACTCAGGATCAACCAGAGAAAGCCAAAATTTCTCCCCTAACCAATCACATAGGACACCATCCCCACTTCTAGTTAGCCCGCCTCCAGCTCCCCCATGTCCACAGCCTCCAACTAGGGCATGACTGAAGCCTTCCCTTTTTCTCATTATAAAGCTTTCCCCCTCCTCTGCCTGCCTTGGAATCTCTGTTGAAGGCAAGTGATGGTGCTGACTCCCTTGCTGCAGCAAGCTCTGAATAAACGTCCTCTATTTGGGTGATCCCAGTTGGGTGGTCTTTATTTTCACCCCGTGTGGCTATGAGGCCTAAACAAAATGGAGTGTAGTCTAGGTGAAGGCAGCTGGGCCAGGGCCCTCCAGGAACACAGCCTGAGTCCTGCCCCAGAGTAAGCTGCCTTTACACTGAAATAGGTCTGGGGGCCGCTTGGAAAAGAGGGGAAGTCTGCCCAGTGGGTGGGTGGGCTGGGAGGGGTGTGCTTGTGTGTGACTCTTAGTGTCTGAAGACACCAAGGCAGACTCTTCCTGTCAGTGAGCAAGGCTTCCAGCGAGCACTTTTGTGTCCTGATGTGCACAGGTCTGCGCACGCAGAAAGAGGGATGCATGGGCAGACACCGTGTGGCCCTCCCAGCCTTCCCAGTGCGCGTCAACCACCCGTGGCACGGTGGGACAGGGCCCAGCTCTCCCTGTGTAGCCCACCCACCTCCAGGTGCTCCCCTCAACACTGGCCTCTTCCTGCCTTTGGTGGGAGGAAATGGGGGGCGGTTGGGGCTTGACCCTGGATTTCTGTGGACTCGGGCGGAGCTGGACTTAAAGGCTGCCCCTCACACATCCCTCGGCTACTCCTCAGCTGAGAACAAGCCCCAGATGGGGGCACAGGCCTCTCAATGCCCTGTTCTTCAACAGGTGTCCTTTGAGTCCCTACCTTCCGCCTCAGAACTACTTTAGGAAAATAACTTCAGCAAGAGAGAGGACTGGACTTGAATGCAGGAGCTCTGGGTTCAGGTCTGGGCTTGGCCACTTAGTTGATAACACCTGACAAGTGTGTACTGAACAGCCACTATAATAAGCACTAACGTTTTTTGAGTGATGACTATGTGCAAGGCACCATAACAGTGGTTGACATGGATCAAAGCATTTAGCCTCACCACTCGATGGGTAGCTGTGATTATTATTCTCTCCATTTTACAGATGAGGCACAGAGGGGTTAAGTGACTTGCCCAAGGTCACCCAGCTTGTAGGTGGAAGGGTCAGAATTCCAACCCAGGCAGGAACTGTGCTAGCAAGTCTTGAGCCCAGGACCACCACTTACAGGCACTCCCACTGCCCTCCCCAGCTGCTCTGACAGCTCCTCTTCCTCTAATACCTTTGGATTCAGAGCTGATGATGACGCAAGGCCAGTTCCCTGGAATGTGGAGCAGCAAAAGGCAACTCCGTCCAAGCACATTCCCATGCATTTGGCTCCCTGCCGTTGCTCTTTGCTTGTTACAATCTGCTCAGTCTATGAACTGTGTCTTTCTTGCAAACTTGAAACTTCATCCACTTTTTATCCTTTTCAAAAAACACCTAGCTTCCGTGTGTGCTGGTGCCACTTGCTCTATGCCTCCCCCAGCCGTGACCTCCGAACCATGTGCCAAGTGAAGCAAACAGCCGGGGATGGTGACTCAGGATGTTCCACTGAAACTTCGAGGCTGCGAGGCCAGAAGCTGCGATGGGTCTGCAGCGTGGGGTCTGCTCAGCTGCAGGCAAATTGGCCTTAGGAAGGAAGCCGCCCAAGGGGCTCTGCTGAGGCCATCATGATCGCTGGGCACCATGCCGCCCGACTGGCCTGACCCCTCTGCTGCTCAGGCCAAAAGGGCTGTTGCGAGGGAGATGACAGCATTTCCAAGAGGGAGAGGCTGATGATAGTAATAGGTGCACAACCCTCTAGATGCAATTCCAACAACCCCCAAAGCTCTGAAAATCAAAAGCTTTTTCATATGTTCGATGCCCAAACTCACATCCCACTCAGTGTGAACACTCATACACTGCACTGCAGAAATACTGACGTGTCTGGTTATCGGGTGTAACCTCAGACCCTGCTGAGAGCACTGCATGACATCTGGTACGTGCACCATATTACCTTTCTATATCTGCAAAATTCAGAATTCAGAGTTGTGTCTGGCGCCCAGGGTTTGGGTATGGGATTCTGGACCTGTGATAACATATTACAAGTCGGGCATGGTGCTAAGGGCTTACACAGATGATTTCCTGAATGCCTTACGACAGTCCCAGCTATATGATCCTCACCCTACAGATGAAGAACCTCAGCTGGGGAGGGAGTGACTTGCCTGAATCTACACAGACGGAGGGAGCAGAGTCTGCCTGTGGACCTGGGGGAGCACCGCCTGGCATGAACTGACCATGTATGGTGGCCTCCACTGTGCCATGAGCTTTACATGTTTCCTTATCGCAAACCTACACAACTCCACAAGGTAGGCATTATTGCTCCCATTGACAGAAATGAAACCAAGGATCAGAGAGGTTACACCGCTTGCCCAAGGTCACAGAGCAGGTAACTGGTGGAGCTGGAATCTAAACCCAGGCTGGTTTGACTCCAGAGCCCCTGCTCCCAACCACTATAGCACCCTTCCTTCCTTCTACATTCATTCATTCACTCATTCAATAAATCTCATTGAGCAAATTTCCCACAGAGAACGCAGAATTTGGAAGGAGCGAGAGGTCATGTGCTGTGGTGGCCACATGTTCCAGATGTTTGGACAGAGGCGCAGTTCTACACATCCTGTCTGGTGGTCAGCACATGTCCTGGCATTCTGTTTGGTAAGTGAGGCCCCGTAATGGAGGATATACAAGTGCTAAGCAGCACTGTGAGCAACAGGGGGTCAGAGGAAGCCTTTGCCTGGGTAGCGGGGGTCACAGGAAATGTGGGAAGGGTCTCTGGGAACATCAGGGCTGGTTTCCCCTGGGCCTGGGCTCTTGCGTGAGTGAGTGGTCCCCACCTGAACCCCTGAGGCTTGCCCGTCAGCTCAGGTCAGACACTCCCTGCAGCCCCCACTCCTGGACCACTCGCGGGCAAGGGCTGGCTCTCCAGGTTTTTGGCTCTGCCAGTTGCCCTTTCCCTAGACACTGGCCTTTCTTCCCCTTGAAGCTGCCCCTACTCTGCCCCAAGGCCTCTTCAATGTGGGGGTGGCCCAAGAGGCAGGAAGAGGATGAGTTCTTAGAATCACTGAGGGAGGGACAGCATGGAGTTCTTCCTCTGGCCCTCTCCTCCCCGTCTTTGCAGGGCCCGCCCCTCCTTCTCTACCCTGGATCAGCACCGGTGCTGCCTGAGGCCTCTCCTGACCCAGCTGGGGTTCTGGTTAGCACTGCTCAGGGGATGCTCATTTGGGGGTCTGGGGTCCGGTGGGGCTTTCAGGTATGGGGGCTGGAGGCTTTGTGATTGGGGAGTGGGAGCTGGGGCTCTCAGCCAGTGGCTAGGATGCTTTGCCCTTTGGCTCAAGAACTGACCCGCCTGCGGCACCTTAGAACTGAGCTGCAGCCCTGGACTCCCCTCCTTGACTCCCCTCCTTCATAGGAGTCAGACGTGCATCAGGGTCTCCCTGTGAAGAAAAGGCTAAAACTCCTTCTCCTTCTCTAAGGACAAACTTGACCTGGGGTTAATGTTCTAGCTCTGTTTCCATGGAAGTCAGATAAAGGTTGAATGTTACATGTGATATTCAGCAAAACTGCTAGTGGTAAAAATGGCCTCTGATAAACTACATCTGGACCAGAAGGTCTATGAATGAACTAAAATATCTGGTCTGACATCATAGCTGTTGGCTTCCCTGAGTGCGATAACTCTTGAGGGACCCTGGGAACATGGTTGTGGGTTGTTTAAAAGATAGTGGCTCCTACGGGGCTTCTAAGCTGAAGAGGCCCACAACTGCCACTGTGGGTGTCATCCCCTCACCCCTGAGCAGTCCCTTGAGGGAGAAGGTGAGAGAACGGCCCCTGGACTGGTGTGAGGACTCCTCCTGTGGAAAGAACTGCTCGAGGTGGCCCTGCTGGCAGGCTGAGCATCCTGTTCTACGTCCTTCTCAGTGAATCTGGCACCAGGTGTGGCCTGCCGCGTCTCGCGCGTCTGAATGTCTAGGTGAGCTAAGCAGCAGCCTGGCAGAGGCTGCTCTTCCCCACCACAGCCCTCTCCCACCCACTTCCAGGCTTCACCCCACTTCACTGGAAACAGGGTATTCATCCAGCAGTGAAGGGGAAGCCCAGCCGGCCTGCCCTGCTTCACCGTCCTCGACGCTCTCCCATCGCCACGTCTCCCGGTTGACAATCAGGAACAAAGGGCATCTGGCTATTGACTACCAGCCCCCCTTCCTACCAGCCAATAAAAGCCGTGACCGAGATGTTTATAATCATTTAATGAATGTTCCAAACATACCCTTCGCTGGGCTACAGGTGAATTTCATGGTGATGGAAGCTGATGAACCACCTACCCAAATAGTCACATGATCACTGGCAGTTTCCAGAAACTTAGATGTCAACCAGAAAGACTCAGTGGGGAACAGCATGATCACTCAGCCAAAGAGGTTCTTTGGGATTCTTATTCTCCTTCTTCCTTCTCCTCCTCCTCCTCCCCCTAAGGACTTTCCCCAGGGGTATGGACGCTCAGGAAGGGAGAAGGGGGTGGGGGGTCCCGTCGCACCAGTGCAAAGAGGAGCGCTGCGAACCCCACACCTCAGAAGCAGTAGGATGACACAGAGGCACAGACCTGGGGCAGGCCTGCTCAATAAATAAATAATTCCTAAAGCCACCACAGGGGGCCAACAGGCCCAGGGACGCTGAACTGGAGGAGCCAGCCTCCCAAAGCCTCGCTACGTGTTACACACCAGCACATCTGCAAAGGGTCCCAGGAGTGTCTTGTTGAAGATGCAGCGCACCCACACCAGGTAGGTGGTGAAGGGCTTGATGTTCTCAGTGAAGGTGTGGTTCTGCAGGGCCAGCATGTAAGGCACGTAGGTGTTCTCCCCCTGCTCCTGCAGCCACACCTCGTACTTCACCTCCCTCACCTTCAGGTACTTGAGGTTCCACGGGATCTGCCAGGAGACGGTGAGGCGGGCCTCGGAGGCGCCCTGCACCGCCGCCTGGCACCGCGCCTCTCGCACCTTCCCTGGGTAGAGGCCGACTGTCCACTTCTGCTTGCGCGGCCCTGGCCGGCCCTTCACCACACGCCGTATGCTTTGGATGAGGGACGGGATGTCTACCTTGGTGTCCTGGTAGATTCGGAAGAGCCATTCAGGGTTCCGGCAACAGAGATGCCGCGGGACCTCACGGCTTTGTAGGATACGGGCCTGCTCTGCCTGGTCTAGGTGGGTGATGCCCCCCTGGTCCCAGGGCCGCTCAGGGTGTGTGACTGTATTCTCTGGCATCATGTTCCGCCAGGCTACATACTGGAGGTCCATGCCGGGCAGCATGGCCAGTGTCTTATAGGGGGTGTAGTGGTCAGGATTGACGGCATATGGAAAAAGCTCAACTACAGTTGCCCCACGGGGCAAGAAGAGGGCAGTGACCAGCTGGGCCCCGTGCATGCTGACCAGCATGGAGGCATTGCTGACCAGCCGCACGACATCTGCAAAGGCATAGTCCTCCAGGGACACTGTCACTGTCTTCATCTGGAACTCCTGGGCCAGTGCCAGCAGCAGCTCTGCCTCATTCAGGATGAGTCTGTTCTGGGTGCGGCTGAAGACGAGAATGTATTCCTCGCCTAGGGGGGCCCCTGTGTGGCTCACATTCAGCTTTTCTGTCATGAACCGTGCAAACTGCCGGATCTCGTTGCCTGAGACAAGGATATTGGCCTTCGGGCCCTGGGGCTGGACAAAGCCATACTGGTACCAGGTGGTGATCTTGGAGAGGCCCACAAAAGCATGGGAGAAGCACAGCAACCGGCCCAGGGTCTTTAGCTGTGCCCGGAGGAGTGGCTGCTTGGGGCTGAGAAGCTTGTAGAGGTCAAAGTGCGCACCCTCACCCCAGCCCTCCATGAAGAAGAGCCTGGCCTCTTGTGCCAGGCCAGGGAACTGCCGCAGGGTATAGAAGAGAGGCAGCAGGTCGTCATGGAAGACGTGCATGAGGTTGTCGGGGTTGAAGCGGTTGGCGATGAGGGCCACGTCGGGCACGAACACTGGCTTGGGCATGAAGCGCAGGGCGGCGGCCGGCAGCTCCACGAAGTTGAAGTACTGCGTGTTGTGGTCCTCCACGGTGGACAGGTCGAGCAGGGCTGGCTGGAAGCGCCGGGAGCCCAGGTTGGGCAGCATGACAGAGGTGTTGCCGTGGAAGAAGATGAACTCCTCGGCCTCGTTGGAGTAGCAGAGCCATTTAAAGCGGCAGATGCGGTCGGTGTGTGTGCGGCCCGTGCATACCATGTGTGTGCCGCCCTCCATCAGGATCTGCAGAGCCTTTGGATAGTCGATCCTCAGCGCTGGGGCTGGCTCTGGGGCCTGTCGACTGAGGGCCAGCTCCTCCTCCAGAGTGGCTGCATGCTCGCGCAGCCTCACGTGCTTCCACAGGACCGCCGCCAGCACCGACACCAGGAGGGCGTTGAACACTGCTGACAGGTGCATCCTAACGCCTCTGTGGGGCCCTAGTGAGATGAGGGCCCCTGGGAAGTGCCACAGGCCTGGTGGGCTTTACCCATCCCTGCAGGCACCCTGAGGACTGGCCAAAGCCTGCAGGAGGAGAGAAGGAAAAGAAAAAGGTGTTGGCATAGTTTCGAGTCATCTCAAGCTCCCACACGGGCCAGGCACTGTGCTAGGCTCCGTATGTACGCCTGCTGCAGCACTGGATCCAGGCGCTATCCTGCACATCGTGAGGTAGAGGAGACTGTTGTTCAAAAGTAGGCACTCTTCCCTCCCTCACTGCTTCCATGGCGGAGTATACGTCCCTGCACCTTGACTTTGCACTTGGACACATAACTTGCTGTGGCCAATGAGATGTTAGCCAACAGAACATAATCAGAGGCTTGAAAAGTGCTTGTGAGACTGGCCCTGCCCTTTTTATACTTACGACATTGCCATGAGAAGAAGTGTTCAGCCTAACTCACTGGTCCCAGGAGGAGTGAGATGTGCGTGGAGCCACGCCCAGTCTAGCTCTGCTGACCCCCAGATCTATGAGTGAGCTCAGTCAGGACCATCGGAACCACCAGTCGAACCCAGCCAAGATGGACGAACACAGAGACATCTGAGCTGAGTAAGTGCTTATTATTGTGTATCACTGAAATTCTGGGGCTGTTTCTTACAAGGCACTGCTGCCACAAAAGCTAGTCAATGGAGATACCTGTGATGAGAGGCCACAGGGAAATTCTCCTTTAGAGGCCTGGCATTCCTGGTACTGCCAAAGGTAAGGACAAATGGGACTGAAGGCCTGTGAGTGCTGTTCCCAGGCTGCACACCAAGACCCCAGTGTGCCCCTTCTCGGGACACACGGCACATATGCATGGGGGAGATGAGGGAACATCTGCTCTTGCTTAAAGCTCCAGTTTGGAAACCATGTCTGCTGGCTTTTTGATTCCCATGAAAGGATGGGTAGAAAGTTACCCCCTCAGTGGTCCAGTAAGAGAATTGTGTTTAAATGTCACCACTGACAAATATTTCCTATACTGATGCGAAAATCCCCAAGGTTAAAGTCCCTGCCCCACATACACACCTACAGAGAGGGCTGGTCGGGCCACGGACACTTGCTCGCATTTTTCCGCATTGCCGGGAAGGGTATCCCATCCGCTCTGAGGCCCAGGACTGTCCAGACATTGAAGAGTCCCACCCTCAGCCCTCAAAGGAGCAGCCAGGGAACAGCCGGCACCACCAGGCCCTGCACCAGGGAGGGATCGATCTGCCCCTTTATTCCCTTGGAGCAAGCTTTTGACTCCCGGTGTCTTGCAACCTCCATCTCTCTGCGAGCAAAAGAATCACAGTGCAATCTTGCCCAGAAAGAGACGGTGTCTCAGGCAAGTTCCCTCAGAAGCAGAGTCAGAGACAAGGGTTTGAGTCAAAATCGTTTGAGAAATTATCCAAAGAAATACTTGTAGGAGAGTGGGGAAGTGGGATGGAGAAGAGTGAAGCCAATACAGGGCCCATGAATGAGCAGGCCGCCACTTCAGGGAAGCTGGGCTATTTGCTACCAACTCCTGTCCAGCGGTTAGTTGAAGGCCACTCCTGGGGGCACAATCTCTTCCAGCCTACCCTCATCCACATAGGCATATTATATAATCTCTGCCAAATTTCAGGAAGCACTACCCTGACCAAGTGTAATGCCCTCCAGTGTTTTCTCTTCTGGTCCATTCTATTCTTTTCTAAGTTTGTTAAAAAAAAAAAGGGGGGGGAGGGCAGAGTGTGGTTATCTCAACTGATTTAACAACCTACTAATAGGGTTGGCAATTTGCTGTTTAAAAAATACTGGTCTAGACCAGAGGTTCTCAAACCTGGCTCGTTACTGGAATCCCCAGGGGGCACTTGCTAAAAACCCATATTCCCAGGCACTGATCCTGGAGTTCTGCTTCAGGAGGTCTGGGGTGTGGCTCAGGCATATGCATCTTCTGTTCTTCTGTTTCATTTTCCTGTCTCGTGGATTATCTGAATTCCACTTTGGTTTATCTATAGTGTATTTGAGTGTCTCTCCTGGTATAGACTTCCCAGTGGTTGCTCTAGGCATCACGTTATACACATGCAACTGACTGCAGCCTACTACTGTTGGCATTTTACCTTTCGAGTAAGTAAAGGGACCTTGCGTCCATTTAGTTACTTTATCCTCCTCCCTTTTTAATATAATTATCTTAAATATTTCCTCTATATACACTGAGACCCACACCACACAATGTTATGATTTCCTCGAGAGGAAAAGGACAGTCTGGTATATTTACCCGTATTTTCACTCCTCTTGTCCTTCCTTCATCCCTCATGTTCCAGGTTTCCTTCTGTTATCATTTCCTTTCTTTGAAGAATTTCCTTCAGTCATTCATTCTCTTAGGGAAGACCTGCTGGCAACAAATTCTTAGTTTTCCTTCATGTGAAAATGTCTTGATTTCACCTTCATTCCTAAAGGATAGATCACTGGGCACAGAACTTTGGGGTGACGGTTCTTTTCTTTCAGCGATTTAAAATGTAGGTTGTGCCACTTCCTTTGGCCCCCGTGGCTTTGATGGGAAATCTGCTGGATGTGACCTGCTGCTCCCCAGGTGACACTTCCTTCCCCTCCTGCAGCTCTTCAGGTTTTCCTGTCTTCAGTTTTCAGAAGTTTGATTATCAAGTGAGTTTCTTTGCGTTTATCCTGTTTGGGTTTCACTGAATCTTGACAGTAGGTTTATGCCTTTTACCCAATTTGGGAAATTTTCAGCCATTATTTATTTGAACACTTTTTCAGCCTCACACTGCTCTCCGAGGACTCGAATTACACTAATGCTAGATATTTTTAAAACTTTATTGTTTACAGGTCTCTGCGGCTCTGTTCAATTCTTTTCCCAGTCTCTTTTCTCTGCTGCTGTTTAGATTGGATAATTTCTATTGTTTTGTTTTCACGTTCACTGATTCTGTCCTCTGTCATCTCCATTTTTCTACTGAGCCCATTCCAGTGATTTTTACATTTTGGTTACTATATCCTTCAGTTCTAAAATTTCCATTTAGTTTTTCTTTTTATCTTCCCGTTCTTTGCTGAGACTTATCCTGGGGTATTATGATACTCAGGACCTTATATTAAATCTTCTATTTTAGCAGGTTTTTGCTAAAACCATCCTGGTGGGGGAAGGGATAGCACTGACTCTTCACCGTCGGGTGGGAGTGGAAGTCCATGCTCCTTACTCAGCTTCCCCCAACACCGCCCTGCCAGGGAGGTGAGAAACACATCATGACCTCTGGGCAGGGGTGGAAGCTAGGGTCCTCAGTTGGCCTCTACTGACACCCTGGTGGGGGAGGAGGGGTGCCTCATCACCACTGCAGGGCAGAGGGCAGAGGGGAAGCCTAAGCTCCACTGACACCTCAAGGGAACTGTGGTAGGGAGGGACATCTCGATAGCCCTGGGCGGTGGTGAAAGTCCAGGCTTCCCATCCAGCCCCATCCACGGGGACGGGGCTGTTGAAGGTGGGGGACACCTAGTTACCACAAGGTGAGGGTGGAAGTCTAGGCTATCCATTCAGCCTTTTTAAAGCTGGGAGGGAAGGGGAAAGCAATTTTCCCTGGTGTTTTGCAGGAACAAGGTGTAATTGTCAAAAAGGTTTCTGTTTTGGTAGGCTGCTCCTTTTCTAGTCCTCTGACAAGAGACAGCAGCTTTCCGTGGGGTTTTCTGGTCTATGCCTGTTGGCATTTCCAGGTTGCAGACTTCTCTACTACCCAGTCTTGGAGCTACAGGAGACGAAAAGGAAACCCAGGGCACCCACCACTGTGTCATTCCATGAGTTGCAGTGTCCCTAGCTGGTCTACATTCTTCTTTCCACTCTTCAGTCTTCTGATGTTTTATATATAATGTCCAGTGTTTTTAGCTGTATTAGTAGGAGGGATAGGAATAAATGTGTCTACTCCATTTTGACCAGAACCTGAAGTCTCACTGGCATCTGCTTTTTCACCAGGCTCCTTGGTGATTCTGAGGTACAGCCAGATCTGAGAAAAACCAAGTGGCTCTTAACCAAAGAACCAGGCCATGTATCCCAACAGCCCCCACGTCTTAACTCATTCCAGCATCAATTCAAAGTTATATGTCCAAAGTCTCATCACACGGGACCTGGTGAGCTAGGGCTTCCTGGAACCTTGGGTACCCAGTGGTTTGCTGACCCTCATCCTTGGGGGCTGCTGAGGATGGTGGTGGGCAAAAAGGACATGAGGCCAAGGTCATGGGCTTCCAGATAGTTCCAAACAGAAGCCCTTTTAGTTTCTTTATACTTAGAGATATTATAGTGGGTTGAATAGTATCCCCCTAAAATCCATGTCTACCCAGAACCTCAGAATGTGACCTGAATTGGAAATAGGGTCTTTGCACATGTAATTAGTTAAGGATCTTGAGCTGAGATCATACTGGATTAGGATGGGCCCTAAATCCAATGAGACTGCCCTGATAAAGAGACAGAAAAGGACACACAGAAACAGAGGCGGCCATGTGCAGACGAAGACAGGGATGGGAATGACGCAGCTCTAAACCAAAGACCACCCAGCACTACCAAGGGCCACCGGAAGTCAAAGAGGCAGGGAGGGATTCTCCCTAGGAGCTTTCAGAGGGAACATGGCCCTGCCAACGCTTTAATTTTAGACTTCCGGCCTCCAGAACTATGAGAGAATAAATTTCTGTCCTCCTAAGCCACCAAGTTTGTGGCAATCTGTTGCAGCAGCCCTACGAAACTAACACAGGTACCATAAGAATTCATATGAAAAAGCTTCTTGCTCTTAAGGAATTCCACTGCTACAAAGGTCAACAACCACTAGGCAAGTCCTCCTCAGTTCACAGAGAGGAGACACAACTTGCCCCAAATCACAGGGCAAGTCTAAAGCCCAGCCAGGATTGAAAATGGGGGTGTCCTGAGCTCCTGCGGCAGCGCCGCCTCCCGGAGGCTGGGGAAGCAGCAGCTCATGAGCGGGCTGGCCGCACAGCCTCTGGGTTCAGAGTCTAAGGAAGTCAGACAGCTCCTCCTCACACAGCCCAGTCTCTCTGCCTCTCCATCCACCTGCCTCGCTCCAGGGCCTGGGCCAGCTCTGCCGAGGATGAGCCACTCTGAATCCTCCTGGGCACAGCCCCCTAGGGAGAGCAGGCCCATTCCATCCCCTGGAGCTTCCTCTGCCCCTGGAAACGCCTCTGGAGTGCTCCCCTTGCCAGCGCTGCCACACCCTCGCTGCCCCTCCACTGGGGAGTGGCAGGGGGAGAACACCTCAGCCCCTCAGCCCCGGGCCAACTCCACCCATTAGTGGAATCTTCTCCACTTCTGGAGACCGCTTTATAGGTATCGCTGATTAATCAGTAGCAGTCATGTTACCTCCTAAAGCAGCCTGGCTCTGAGTTCCTGCTGCATTACTGGTCATAGATGGCTCCCAGAAGAGGATGTGTGCTGTCTGGGAAAGTCTGAGGATAAAAAGCCAGACAGGGGGCTGGCCCGGTGGCATAGTGGTTAAGTTCGCATGCTTGGCTTTGGTGGCCAGGGGTTTGCAGGTTCAGATCCCAGGCACGGACCTAGCACCACTTGTCAAGCCATGCTGTGGCAGCATCCCACATAAAATAGAGGAAGATTGGCATGCATGTAAGCTCAGTGACAATCTTCCTCAAGCAAAAAGAGGAAGACTGGCAGCTAATGTTAGCTCAGGGCCAATCTTCCTTGGAAAAAGAAAAGAAAAAGCGAGAGAGACTCGGGTTCAAACCCCAGCCCCACAACCTACGGTGTGGACCTTCTGAACTTAGGTGCCCCCGTCAGAAAAATGAGGGTACGGCGCCCACCTCACAGGGTTGTGGAGAAGGTCAGAAATTACATATTTGTTGAACTCCATGAATGCTGATATTTGACTGCTTCTGATGTACAAAAACAGCAATTTCACGCAATGACGTTCAGCCTAATAGGTAAAGTATCTAGCAGAGAGGGAAAAGAAATTGAGGCCGCAAATGGTTAAAAAGGGCCAAAGGGATGCACAATGAAGTCTGGCATTTTAAAACACTTTGGACACACTTGGCTGCCTTCATCTGACTCAAAGCAAAAGCTGATCAGCGCTGAGGCAGGAACTGTCACTTTTCATCACAGTCATTTGAAACAAAGGATTTTAAATCTAAGCAGGAGAAGATTCCTCCCAAAGATGGAGACAGACCAGATAGTGAATGCTGTCACCTGTGACCTCGAGTCAGTCGCCAACTCCCTGTTTCCTGGACCTCCAGGTCAAGTGCATTAATAAATGAGAGAGCAGACACTGTTTCCACCCAGCATCTATGCAGCCCTTTTCTCTTCCTAACAAAATCCTGGGTTTGTCCAGATAGCCACGCCGCCCCCTGGTACCTACAGGTGCAGAGGAAGCCAAGGTCTGCCTTCTCCCTCCAGAGGGCCGATCAGCAGATAGCACACATCCGGGGCCACTGATGGGCTCAGTGTGGCACTCTACCCGGTAGGACCAAGCAGACCAAAGGGAAGGAATCATATTCTGTCATATTCCCGCCCACTGGATAGAAAAAGATGTTGTCCCATGGCTGCTGCCTGCCATCTGCTGATCATGGGGAAATAGCTTGAGAGGGAAGCCAGGATGCCAAGGATGACATGATAGAGGAGAGATAAAAGGACAAAGGACCCTCGTGACATCCTGAGCCCCATCCCTGGCCCTCCTGCTGGGAGAGATGATAATTTTCCTTATTGTTGAAGCTGGTTTGAGTTGGGGTGTTGGTTTCTCAAAGCGAAGAACCACCTAACTGGCACAGGAGGAGGACCTCTTTGCAAAGTGTTGTGCACGAAGCAAATGCAGGGGGGCTGCCGGCACCTCCTCTTTCTGAGCTCTGTGCTCTGACCCAGTGGTGCTATTTGGCATCAGTTTCCCTGAGACCCTTCTGACTTGGGTAAACAAAGCCCTCCCTCTAATAAACCCTTGTGTGAGAAACAAAAGCAAATCAAACATACTCATGGTGGGCCAGGTGGAGCTACAAGAGTTGTCCACCCAGGGTCCACCTGCTGGCAGGGAATATGGACTAAGGCAACTTGAGCGTCACAGCACAGGCAGCAGGTGGCACTCTAGTGAGCCCTGCAGGCTGTATGGGCCAGACCCTTCCTGAGGAAAAAACGAGTCCCTCTGGTCTGGCCATTTCCTGGAGCTTTCAGAGGGAAACAGAAATGTCATCTCCAGCATGGAAAGGAAAGGGGCTGGGGCTGTCCAGGGAGCGATCCAAGGAGACTGGACAGTCCTGTCTAGTTGGAGGAGGAATTTTAATTCCTTCCTACAAAGGCAATGGGGAGCTACTGAAGGTCTTTGAGCAGAGCAGCCTGGAGGTAGAAAATCCAATGACGAGTTCCCAGCCTCCGTGTCTCCCACTCAATGTGGGAGAGGAGAGCCTGGGATTCAAATGGGGAGCCTAGAGGAGAGGGGCTGAGGCACCTGGCAGGTCAGCATGAAGCGGGCACAAGGAACACGTTCCTTATGGCAATTCAAGGCCCAAAGTCTGCAGATGATTTAAATTTTAAATAAATTCCTGTGGACTCAAAGCTAGTTTTTTAACAGAACTCCCACTCACTCACATCCCAACGGGGCTTCTCGGTCCCAAGAGAAGAGCATAAAGTCACAGCTACTCTGAGGGCCCATGAACTCCAGGTCTTTCACGCAGGTCTTGAGACTGGGGACAGGGGAGGACTGTTGCTAATTAGTCACAAGTCCTCCACCCACCCCTTGGGCCTGCTGGAAGTGTTACAGAAGGCAGGACAAATACAGACTGGCCCAAAGGGTCCTTTACTGGGTGCTTCAGGC